TGAGGGTGTTGGGGGGCGGTTTAGGGGTGTTTGGGGGGTGTATGGGGGTGTTGGGGGGGTTATGGACTGCCCTTTTTTTTTTGCAGGTTGCCGACGACCGCCGACAAGTCGGGTGGTTGGCAGCCGACCAATCAAGGGGCGCCGATCGTCGGCCTGTGCAACTCTAGTGCACTGGATGAAAACTGCTTCCTAGGACGCGGCCACAACCATCAAACAGAGAGAGACAGCCAAAATATGAGTGCACTCTAAGTGCAAGTTGTATTGGAGCCGACCGGTCGAGCCAAAGGCCAATAAAAGGTGGATGAAAAAAGAAAAAGTGCAAACTGTAACCAGGATAAGTTCATATCCTGTCAAGTAACCATGAAGCCCTAGAAATACAACAGCAGTTCAGGCAGCCCGGGGGGCTGGCAGGAGCTAGTAAAGAGGGCTTCATTGCAGGGATCGAGCAGTGGCAAATCCTACCCCAAAAGGAAGCAATTTATGCCCCTGTCTCAGGGCCCTGCATCCTACCCCAAAAGGAGGCAATTGATGCCCCTGTCTCAGGGCCCTGCAACCATAATGGAAGGAAGCGCAGAGTGGGTTGTTTTGTAAGGGATGCACCCATTTTCCGGCCAATGTAATAAAAGGATATCGTGAAGGTTTTGTTTTTTTTTTCTTCAAAAAATTTGGACCATTTCTCGATAAAAGGATATCGTGAACGATTAGGATTTTGAATTTTCCAAATTTTTAAATTTTCCCCTCTTCTTTTGTCCTTTTTTATTTTAACGTTGTCTTCTCCTCAGTTTCCTTTTTCTTTTCTCTCCTATTTTTCATTGTTTTAGCTTCAGGTACAATATTCACCATGCGTTCCTCGGTGAGCAGGAAGCACCCACAGCCTTCATCTGTTTTGGGGTGCGATATTCATCACATATGTGCGGCTGAGCTGGAACTGCCCACACCTTTGCCTGATCTAACAGTACACTTGCAACCTGAGGAGTGATAGGTATGATACTACGATGATGAATGAAGTAGGGCCGGCAGAAGAGAGACCAGGGAGTGTCACACAATTGGCAACAGATGGGGCGGGCTAGATGGGGATAAAAGTTCATAAAACTGATGATGGCAGGAGAAATCGCCAGGGAATATGTGAAAAAGAACTTGTATTCATACTTCACAATGAATGGTTAAGGCAGGTAAGAGACAGCATTTGCAAAATTGTGCAGATTACGCGGCAAATAGTTGCTTTGCCACTACGCACACACACACACACACACACACACACACACACACACACACACACACACACACACACACACACGCACACACACACACATCTCTCTCTCTCTCTCTCTCTCTCTCTCTCTCTCTCTCTCTCTCTCTCTCTCTCTCTCCCCCCCCGCCCCCCGCCTCCCCCCCGCGAAGATCAGAATCACCATCAAGGAAAAAAGATACACACACACACACACACACACACGTTTGGTTGTCATCCTCGCTATGCACGACTACATGAAAAAAGCTTGAATGTGCCAAACTGTTTCGCCGACTCTCATCAACTAATCACGAGTTCAACGCCAATAGTCTCCCTGTGACGGATTTGAAAGACTGAGTGGTGGTGTGTATTTGCATCCATGCGTGTGTGCATGTGTTCATTTGTGTTTGCATACATTCGTCCGTGTAAATGTGTGTACCTCTGTCCATATGGATGTGACTGTGTGTGTGGTGGGGTTGTATCGCTGTTTCACCGAATAATTTTCTGGTTTGGGGGGGTGTATCACTATTTTACCGAATCCTAATCCTATCAGTCCACACTGGAACACTTCATTTTCTTTTTTTCTTCTACAGCTATCTTCTACATAGTCGCAGCAGCAAGATTGAGCAGGAAGTGACCACCCCCCCCACACGCCTGCTATAACAGCAGACTGGTCGGATGTGGAGTGCACTAGGTGCGATATTTGAAGGAGATGAGCAAATGAGTCGAGCGTACGTCAGAACTCGGCAACGGCTGGGGCAGGTGCAATGCGGATGATATGGATGGTGGCAGGGCAAACCAAATAGGCGATTTCCAGTGCATCAATCAGCCACCACGGCAGCACACAAATCATGACAACTAACATGTTCATTGCAGATGGGGGTGAACGGACAAGGCGAATCGTAGGTCACCATCGAGTAAAAGCAGCGAACCCTTGGCTACAAATTGGATTTGCCAAATGGGGATGTAGAGGGCACAAATAATCCGGAACGGGGGAGCAGTTCTGTGCGTTGCAGAAGCCATTTCCTTATGCTGAGTGTGATAGAGTGGATCGTGTGGATCGTAATCACAGCCTACAGCAACTGAACCTCTGTTTTTCTCTGCTCTGCCGCAGCGGTGAGGTCTGTCTCATTGTGAGAAAATCATAAGCATCAGTCATAGGATGAGTCATGACAGAATTTTCCCAGTGTTCCCAGTGGTCCGAGGCATAAAAGCGTGTCATGTACAATGCACACAGAGACGCAAAGACATGAGGCTGTATGTGCCCCAAAAGAGTGATGATTCTGATGAACCAAGAACACATGAATGAAAACAATTGCAAAGAGAAAGCAAAATCAAATGTACCATAGCAAATAATGAAGCAAAAAGAATGTAAAGACACTTTTTTTTCTTTTCTTTTCTGGACTTCCTAGGACGCGAGCGCCCACGGTTAGCGCTAATTCAGCGCTAGTTTTCTCCCGCTATCGCTCAGGCACCCGCGGGAGTGAACTGCCCGCGGGGTCCACCACGCTGAGCGCGGCATGTCACCTATCGTGAATTTTCGAACAAGGGGCGGGAAAGTGAGCAAGAGTGTCGCGCCCGGTGGGTGAAGCGAGGAAAAATCATAGCTCAACTCATCATCACCAAGGACAAGGCGCAACAGGATCATGACATCAAGTGTACACGAGCGGTAAACAAGCAAAGGCGGTTTGACTCTGGCAGCAGCAAAGAGAGAGCTGGGAAATGTCTGTAACCCGGTTCATCATCACCACGGACAAAGCACATTGAGACCAGGACAACGAACGGTGGAGAAGGGGTGAGTAGGAGGGAAAAGGATCAAAGAGGAAGTTACCAAGACAAGATTGTCATGACACCGCAAGAAGGGTAGCGCCTACTGGCACAGCAGTCCCATTCTATTTCTGGAACGAAACAAGAGCAGTGAGGGGAAACTGCAAGATCTCGTTGAGTGGGGAAAAAGAGAGGAGAGGAGGACAGTGAATGGAAGAGAGGAGGGAAAAGATAAAATTCAAGAAGGGAGGAAACGACTGCAAAGCGGGGAGGGAAAAGAGCGGACAAGAGTTGAAAGCGGGAAGAGAGTGGATGGCGGGAAGGAATATCTGAATCTATCAAACACACAATCGGTATATGTAAATTGACTAGCTTCAAGTATGGCCATGGAATTCTGATTTGCATTCATTATCACCAAGCAGTCTGGAATATCGTTTGTAACAATTCCTTCAAAGCATTTTTTCATTTTTTTATAACGCGGCGCCTTGCGAATATGTTGTGCTGTATCTAAAGCTTGAGAACCAAAACAGGAACTGAAACATTAACGCCAAATCAAGGCCGAACTATTCGCGAACAGCATCAAGTCTCCGCTTCAATCCAAAGGTGATGCCATCTCAGAAGCCCAACACCCAAAAGAGGTAAGTCCCCATCATTAGTGCCTTCACCACTACCTTCATTGGAGACAAAGAGAGTGCAAACGAGAGGGGTAATACCGTAATAGACAACATCGAGACATAAATTTCCGAGAATTCTACAGCAGACGAGAGCAACAACAGACTCTGGAAAGAGTATTCAGGATAGGAGTTTTACATCTGAGAAAGCTTTTTTCGGGAGTTGCACGACCACCCCATGACGTGACTAGGGCACAATTGCCTTTTTGGACAATTTCCAACCCGTCATTCCTCCCATCTTCTATCCCACAATCCTTGCGTCCACACCCTACCCTCCACCAGTCTCTCTACCACAGTTAATCAAACATTAGACACCTTATTTCTTCCAGCCCTACTAAAATATTACTTACCTCGCCTCTCTCTTACCTCCCCCCATATTCTACAACTCCCCCTAAGACTAATTCCGTCAGCCTAACCAATCGAATCATCTTCTCCACCCTCCCCCCAGATACACAACATTTCTTACCAATCGTCCCCCGGACTCTCAAACTGCTCCCAAAACGCAATAGTTAATCATTGAAAAAAAATAAAAATCCATTATCATCCTGATCTTTACTACCATTTTTATTATATTTATACTACCTTTATCTCATCATCACTTATTATCCCCTTTCCTCTTCGCCATCCTTCTACTACCTTCTCTACAGCGGATGCTCCCGGCCCCAATTGGAGTAGGGAAAGCCGGTCAATTTGTTTTTTTCGAAAGCAGAGCCAAGATTGTCGTTTTCTAGCATCTGC